GGTGGGTGGGGGATACTTTCTGGAGAGGCTGGCAGGGAAGGTTGCAAATGGCGATCACAGGGCACTGCAACTGGTCATAAGTGTGAACCAGTTGCCAAGTGCCCAGATTGCAATCACATGACTGCGGGGTGCTTGAACAGCCAGAATTCCAAGGACCAGTCAGAATCACTATTCTTTCAGCTCCATCGTAACTTTGAATGGTCACTGAATGAATGGTCATAGGTCAAGGATTACCTGTAGGGCAATTCAGTTGTATCTATTGCCCAGTTTACAGGTAGTACGGCCATTGTTCAGCAACTGTTCAAAGTTATGACAGCACTGAATGAGTGGTACTTAAGACCAGTCCTTGGAGTTCTGGCCGTTGCAGCACCTCCGTGGTCACATGATCATGATTTCTGACATTCCCTGCCAGCTTCCAACAAGCAATCAATGGGGAAGCCAGCAGGAAGTCGGAAGTCATGGTCATGTGAAGCCCTCGCTTAATGACCTGCATTGTCCTTGTTTAATAACAGCAACTGGGAGTGCTGGAATTGCCATCACTAAGCGACTCAGTCACATGACATTGTACTTTACAACTGTGTCACTTAGTGATGATCATTCTGGTCCCAATTCTTGTCATAAGCTGAGGACTACCTGTATTGCGTAATGGGGCTGCAATACCCAGGTAAGCCATAGGGAGTGCTATGTCCTCTGTCTGCAATGCATTTTCCTACACTCCACCAGAGGCACTCTGTAGTTGCTAGCAGTTCTTAGAAATTTACAGAAGCCTTTGTAATTCCATTTCTTACTTTCACTTTCGTTTTTAGATGGAGTGGTTTACTTGGAAACCAATTGGAGTCAAGATAAGTTGCAGCAATGCAGTTAGGATCCTTTCCACCCTATTGTAATATATTCTTAGCTCTTCAGCTTCCAGAATCCAACTGATGGATGCTCCCACAATTTAATTATCCATTCATCCAAAGACGTACATTTTTTTTTTTAATTCTAAGGAGTTTAGGAGAGACTACAGACATCCAATGGCAAATGCAGGAAGACATACCCCCGCCCTTGTCTTCCCAGGCAAAAGCAGCCATGTTCTCCATCTCTCCAAGAGTTGGACCTTCCCTTTAAATGAGGAGAAGCTCTTAGTTGCATTTGGTACCAGTGACACAGCTGGATCGAGAGATTTGGGGAATTTTTTTGGGGGGGGGAGTGGCAAAATTCAAATCACTGTAGGGCAGGTGTGTGCACCCTAACAACATCAGACACCTGAACTCCTGCACCTGCCAAATTGCAACTCAGAAAGCAGGAGAAAGAATTGGCTGTGTCTTCTGCCATATTGGTTCCATCATTGGGGCAGAGCCTACAGCTCTGCATTTTCAGAGTGCTTGGTCTATTATGTCCAGGCCCCTCATTTTTTCCTGAAGCTCAGGGCAGCATCCATAGTTCTCTCTCTGTTTTATTCCCACAACAAAACTTCAAGATGGGTTAAAGTCACCTTTCAACTCTCAAAGCTCTAAACGGTCGACATGGGATCCCACCATCTGCATCCTGATCTCCATGTAGAAAAGAGCCACATAGCTGATGCTCTTACACGTCTTTCAATCCATCCGATGTGGATGGTGAAGTTCTAGTTTTTTGAAGGCCAAGATAAATTTTTCCCTTGTTCTTTCTACCACATTAACAAATGACATTCTCAGTATTCCTGGGTGATGGTCACTATTCAGTTGTGGTCCTACCTCTACATCAG